CACAGAGACAAACGAGACAAACAACCATTCACTCTCTCACTCACACCTAGGGACAATTTAGAGTTACCAATCAGCCTAACATGCATATATTATAATAATAATAATTATTATTATTATCGTTTTATTTAAAAAGCGACTTTCAGGACACCCAAGGACACTTTATAGCAAGAAACATATCAGATAAGGTTGTGTAAAAACAAACAAACACAGTGCAAAGACCAACAGGAATCAATTGAAATATAAAATACATAAAACAAAGTTAAGAAGGATAATCTAAAGAGATGTGTTTTATTGATGAGATGTACTATTATTGCTATTATTATTAATAGTATTAATATTATTATTAAGGGAATAGACAGCCTTCTGCAGCCTCTTTCTGTTTAAATTTTAAATGAAAATCAAAATTCTACCTTTGTAGAAAGTGACTATTCTGAGTTTTTAGCCTGTACTGCCATATTTATGATCCAATAAATTCAGAATATAAGTCCTAACAGGACGTATTATTGTTAAAGGTGTGTGTAAATCTGATTTTGTCAGACTCTGTCTCTGATAAAAATAGTACTGCACCTTCTGTTACCGGGTCCTCTGGATCCAGTGTATCCTCGTTGGAAGCCATAATCAATCGGGAAACCCGGAAGCGCAGATTACCTACAGTCCACGGTGCCCTGAACGTCTCAAATGTTCAGTTCAAGAAGTCAGAAGTTTGTCATGAACCCACAAAGCGACACCTGGTCGGTTAAAGGTGGGGTTGTCCGTCCTGACGAAGGTGGAAGTGTCCTCTCTGACTGCCTGCGTCTCGGTGGGGCTGACAGGTGAGCCTTCAGTAATAAGTTTCGGTCGAGGTGTCGTTGTAGAGGAGGCGGTGCTGCTGGAAAATTCAAAGGAAGGCAGAAGCACTTGCGCCACATCCCTGCCCTTCTTTAGAAGTGGTGTTTTTACTAGTTCCTGTCGCTGCTTCGTTGTTTTGGACTAATTTAATAAGATAAAAACGGTCCCTCTGTCATAGTGGAGAATTGTTTCCAGGATTTCCTGGATGATCATATTTGCAGAACATCAAATTACATATTTACACAGACGACCTTTAAAAATACATAAATGCCACATGACTTTGGCAGATAATAACCTAAGATTTTGTGTGGCGGTAGCTGAGACTGATCTCCAACACATATTCTGATTTTTTGTGCAAGATCAAATTTCATCATAAATTATTTTGGATTCAATTCTGTGATGGCAACATGTCTCATGAACAGCCCTGATGTTCATGAAACTTCCAGGAAATAATTGCTGGATGTGCCTCAGTAACTTGTTCGAAGTTTAATCTTGCTGGATCTGACCTGCTCTGAATTAAAACCTAGTTTGGACCAGGTCCGATCAGTCTCAGCTGATCACAATGAGCGATCCCAGGGTCAACACAGGGTAAGGAGTCATTTTTGGTTGCTTGATTTCCAACACTTTGATAGATTTGCACTGCACCCCATCTCGGGATGATGGGCCGACTCAGGACCCGAAAGTCCCAGGTTCGATCCCCAGTCACTGCACATCTCTTGGTGTCTCTGAGCAGCACACCCTATCCCTAAATGCTCCCCAGGTGATTTCCACTGCCCACTGTGCCATCTGGTGGTGGATGGGTTAAATGCAGAGAGCCAATTTCACCATTGAACATACAATGATGATAATACACAACACATTATTATTATTATTATTATTATTATTATTATTATTATTATCCACCATCAGAAACAGATAAGACCAATGTCGTCACACATAGTCACCCCACCTCGAACCACTGGGATACACTCTGATAGGCTGTGCCCACTCCCGATGTGGAGGCGGAGCCAAGGGCCAACATAAGCTGGGGCGTGTCATTCCCCGATCTGTTACGGAAGCACGATCCGTAGCGTAGCTCGTTTGCGCATGCGCTAAAAGTAATACTTCCGGGTATCATGGCTCACTGACATCGTTGAATATACTAGATTAAGGAAAATGTACTTGTATAATTCAGTTTATGAATAAGAACTGTCTTAATTTACTTAGAAAAGTATGTGCTCTAGCTCCGCCTATTTTCATGTTGCTAATTCACGCCACTCGTGTTTCCATTAATATCATTGGCATATTTAAGTTGTGGTTAAAATGACATGCAGCTTTACCACTGAGTGGCGCTGTTTCACCATGGAAGTAATTCATTCTGTATCTTGCAGGGTTTTTCTCATTCAGCCCATTCATTCAACCTTTATTTAAACAGGTTTATCCCAATGAGCCACGAGGACTCCCAGCCCAGGCTGGGGGTCAGGTCTAATGCGTCACATATCATCTTAACCAATGATTTGTAACGGAAATACGAGTGGCGTAAATTAGCTACATGAAGATCAGCGGAGATAGAGCACATACTTTTCTAAGTAAATTAAGACAGTTTTTATTCATAAACAACGGCGATCTGTGCGACCCAGAAGAACACTACGGATCATGCTTCCATAACAGATCAGGGAACGACAGGGCGTTCTGGTGCACGGGGCCTCCACTTCCACTCACGGGTTAAGACGAGTCTAACGGACGCCTCAGCGCGGAGCTTGTAACTTTTCTTGCCTTATCGACATTAAATGGTAAATAGAATTTACCTCTCTCGATTTTATTGAGTTTGTGTGAGTTTCCGCTCCACCTGGGAGCAAAACAACCGGAAGGGTGTCGTGGTCGGACGGCTGACAAAATGATTAACCTTTGGAGCCAACCCAACTCAAAATGGCCACCGCAGCTGGTTGACTTTTTAACAGACACAAAAATGGCTATAATTCAGCCGGTTTAACATATATCGAGTCAAAATTTGATGTAGCTGTGAGTCATTGACAGTACACACCCTGAGCGTGACATCTTGCCTTATTGCGGTAAGAATTTACGTAACAATAGTTTTAAAGTTTAACCAAAACAGCCACAACATTTAGTCCAATTTTAGTCTACAACTCGGGTGTGAAAGGCAGCAGGCGATATGCATTACTCCAACAAATACTAGGCCTGTAATTGTACATATTTGTTTTACTAGCTGCCTTTCACAGTCTAAATGCTTATTTTTTCATGGTTTTCACTTGCAGCAATGTGTCTATCAGCAATGCTGCCAAACTAGAAGTTATTTGGGCAAATAATTGCTATTTATGTACTTGGGTTAAATGGAAATAGGATGCAGGCCATATTTTAGTTAATTTTACTGTAGTTTACCAGGATTGTCCCAGTGATAGAAAACATTTTCAATAGTTTCTGGATTAGTTTGTAAATTATCTGGTAATCTTAAGGAGAAAGTTTTCATACTTTTAGCTGATGGAGCACATCTCCCAAAAAAAAAAAAAAAAAAAGATCATAAACTGTGAGGGTATTTTGCAAGTGTTCACGTGTTTAAACACAAATGGTTTAAAGTTTTAACATTCAAGCTTTTGTCTGAATCTCTCGGTGCTCTTCAGGATTTTCCATAACTTTGACTCAGACTCGTAAAGGTCTCCTCATATTTTGAGGAAGCGGTTAATTTTAACTTGGTCACTCCACGGCAGCTGTTTTGTTGCTCAGCTGACGTATAACCCAACATCGTGCAAAACATTTAGACCATCCCCATTTCCTTGAAATAAGCCAAATATTCTTTTAATCTTTAGTCTTGAGAAATATTTATGCAGTCTCAAAGAGCTTTCAGTTTTTTCTTTGGGCTTTGGCTGCTTTTGTTCTCATTTTCAGTCCAGTTCTTCACCGTTTTCAGGAGAATGTGTTTATGTTTAAGCCCCTTAAGTTTGATCCATGAACCATTCAGGCAGAATAAGGTCCTTAAACTCAAATGTACCAGTGCTGCTGTTAAAATATTTTTTATTGGATCTTCGGGCCCTTTTTTTAAACAATCAACCTCTCACATAAATACTTTTTTCCCATTTATTTAGTAAAATCTATGAAATAGATCAATTTTTATGTCAAACTGATATATATTCACAAATTTATATCTTGTAGCCAGATCTTTGCTGGATTTGATCCCTTTTCTTCTACAACTTTCAGATTCTGTTCATCTTAGTTTTTTGGTCCAACACCTTTTTTTGTCCTTCATATATACGCTTTACTAATTTTAAGTCTTTAAGACCTAACAACAAAAACAAAATTTTCTACATGCTTTTTCTTACATTGATGTGTCCTTAAAACGGAATGAAAAGTGAAGTACTACATTTATGTTTAACTCATGTTTAACTTACCTGCCAAACTTTTACCTGCTATGGCTGGCTCACCTAATGTAGGTCAGTCATGTGACTCAAGTATCCACGTAGTGTTTGGAAGATTTGGCCGAGTGCTTTATTTACATTGAGTGCAGACCTGCATATCTGGAAATCTACTGGAGTAAACACAAACTGCACCATTTGATATAACAGTAGCTCAAAATACTTTGATTTATATAAATGTATATATTTTTTTATGAACAGCCAAAGTCCAATAAGAAACATTAAAAGACCTCCATAAAGCCTGAACTACCATATTTTTTGGACTGTAAGACGCACTTAAAATCCTTTAATTTTCTTAAAAATCGACAGTGAGCCTTATGTGTTAATTCTGGTTGTGCTTACTGACCTCGAACCGATTTTATGTGGTTATTGTGAATGAGTTAAATACAGTTTGACTTGACTGTTTTGTTTCGCTTAATGTGCCTTATAATCCCAAAAAAAAATAAAAATAAAAATTCAGTACTGATTTGAGCACTTTTATAGATTACAGTCTTGCTTCTTAAAAGCAAAAAAATACATAAAAATTGTTTAAAATAATCAGAAAATTAAGAAACAATGTAACTTTAATTTAAGAGGTTTTGGCCTTAATTATCTATTTATTTGTCTGAAAACATAAATCTGTAATATTACTGCATTTAGGTTGCCTATTATTCATTTTTAACATTCTGCATTCATGTAGAAGTTACACTCTTATCAAAGTCTTGTTAAAAAGGGAATTGTAAAAACCGCAGTCTGTCAGACTTGGTACAAAATAACAGACTTCCTGTGGTCATGGATGAAGTTCCACCTGTTGTACTTTTTTTTGTTACATAAGCAGAAACGGCTGCTTTGGACTGTCCAGTGCTCTGACCTGTTCCATGGACAGCCAGGAGAGGGCAACAAAACAACTTCAATCAGACTTTTAACCTGATGAACTCTCCAAGAAGAGTTCTCGTATTGAAAGCACTGAATAACTTATATTTCCTTAAACAGTTCATTTTGTCTCGTGTTCTCCCAGGTCTGCCTCATGAGGCGCCTCGTCCTGCTCCTCCATCTGCTTGTCAGACTCGGCAGGCTCCTGATCCTCCTTTAGAGTCTCTGCGGGAGAGGCTTGTTCCACTTCCTGCTCCAAATCCCCCCCGTCGTCAGGGTCACTGTGTGCCACCTCTGCCTCCATCTTTTCACAGTCTTCATCCCCCTTTTCTGCTTCCTTCAAACCAGACTCGGCTTCCTCCTTCAGGTCAATTAAAACCTGGTCCTCGTCCCCGTTTTCTTTGGGGACATCCAGTTCACTTGGGGACGGTTCACTCCCAGCAGCACCTTCCTCCTCGCCGGCTGACCTTCGGTGCTGTCTTGTGGGCAGGCGCCGTTTGACTGATAACCGTGGACGGTTCTGTGTGGGAAAGACGAACAAGAGGAAAATGTTAAGCATAGCTTAGATACAGTACTTTTCACCGTATAAGTCACATCTTTTTGCATAAATTTGCATGCCCTGTGACTTGTACACCGAAGCACAGTATTTGTTTATTTTCTCATATTTATAACCCAATTTTTGACTGACATCTGACCGTTTTCATTCATTCTGACATGGAAAATACTGAACACTACCATTTTTAGCCGCTAGAGGTGCTAGTGGGCCCTCTAGTATTTTGACAACTATACCTGTAGGTGTACCGGTATTTGTTGATTCCAGACCTGCTAAAACATCGCCGACCCGCAACCAAAACATCACTCCACTTGAGTAGGAATCACCAGCTTCATTTCACCATGTTTTGACCATTAAAGTGCATTTATTAAGGAAAAGTTAATGGTTATCTTGTTAAATTAATCCATTCAACCTTTATTTATACAGGTTAATCCCATTGAGCCTCAGGGACTCATTTACAAGAGAGACCTGATTTTTTTTTTTTTAACAAAGAGTGATGACAACAGTGGACAACAACAATAGACAATCATAAAAGAGGCATACAAATTTATTTATTTTTTCTACACGTTAAAATAAAATGGCAACCAAAAGGACAGTCAAAAGGAAAAAGTAGCGAAAAAACAGCTAGATTATAAGGCGGTGTAGAAAACTAAAAACAGGAACATGTCTGCATTGGTTTTTCCCAGGAACTTAGAAAATGTTTGAAGCCACTTAGAGAGGTCAAGGTCGAGAGCTTCAGATCTTTTTACAAGATATTCCAGGAAACAGGAGCAGAGTAGAAGAAGGCCCTTTTGCCAAGTTCAGTCCTCACTGAGGGAACACTGCAGGTAACAATGTCCTGAGATCGCACGCTGTAGCTGCACTCACACAGAGACATTTAGGAGGAGATGTATGAAGGCAACAGACCAAGAAGTGATTTTTAGATGAAAATGTACCAGTGGGAGAGTCTGCGTGAAGTTAATGATGACTAGTTAACCAGTGAGTACAGGGTGCAATGGTGGGTATGGTAGTTACAGACGGTTATGAATCTTAGCGCACCATGATAGCATCCAACATCTGCAGGGTGCTTGTAGGAACGTTCATGTAAATAATGTCACCGTAATCAATGGAGGGAAGGAAAGTCGCAGTTACAAGGCCTTTCCTAGCCTTCAGAGTTAGACCGGATCTACCGGTATTTCTGAAAAAGAAACCCAGTTTAATTTTCAGTTTCCTTACTTGGTTTTCCACGTGAAGCTTAAAAGAGAGAGATGCGAAAAGAGAGATGCGAATCGACCAAGATACCCAAATATTTTTTTAGGGATCAACAAACTCAATAGGGACACCATTTGAGGATAAAATCAGAGGAAGAACTGCTGGGACTGACTTCCTGTTTGAAAAAAAAGCATCCCTTTGGATTTATCAGCATTTAGTACAAGTTTGAGATGGAACAAATCTGACTGGATGATGTCAAAGGCGGATTGCAAAAGCTGGAGAGCCTTAACTGTTTTAGCTCGACAATAAACAACTGTCATCAGCATAGAATTGTAAGGATGCATTAAGGATGCTCTAACCTACATTACCTATGTAGATTGTAAAGAGGGTGGGTCCTAAGACTGAGCCTTGTGGTACCCCATTGTTGACCGTTATATAACTGGAGGAAGTATCAAAGAAATGCACAGCGAGTCCTCTCTATGCACGCTTCCGCAACCGCAAAATAGTTTTTGAAATGAAGCTGATTTGACCAATAAAGTGCATTTATAAAGGAAAAGTTAAACTGAGACACACCTTTGCTATAATTTTGAACAAACAAATAATTGTGTTTTAAGCATTAAGTCCTCCCATGCACACTCCCGCTGCTGCCATTTGGCAGCCAAACGATTTTTGGCACATCAGCCTGTGTTTCCATGTGGTCAGCGATGACGCATAACAAACGCAACGCATCAGCAGTGACGCATAATAAATGTGATTTATACGGTGAAGCGACATTTGTTTTCTTTTCCAAATTATTAGACATTTTTGGACAGATGCGACTTACAAGACGGCGGTGCGACTTGTATGGCGAAAAGTGTGGTAAGTTTTAAAAATTTTGTACCCTCAAATGATTACTGGTGATTGCCCAAATCTATTTAGCTTTCACGTAAGAACATCTAACAGCACCCAGGGACTCTAACTGGGCTAAGGTGATTATGTCTTCAATCCACTGCCCTGCTCCAGTTTATCTCAGACCTGCTTAAACAGAAGATGCACACCAGCCAATGAGGAGCTTGTTGGCGGGGACAGTTTACAGGTGTCCATCTGTGACACCATCTCACTCAGCGAGCACTGTTAGAAGGACTTTGGGAGTTTCCGGGCGGCAACAGCCATTTTTGTCACCATGAAGGGTCATAGAACTATGAATTACTAAAAAAAGCTTACAAATTAGCTAAAACAATCAGAAAATCTGGGGTGTTTATTGTAAAATAAAACCAATGCGGCTGTATTGGTAAGAGGAGGCGCAAATGTTCACCTTGTTAAAACTCTGCAGTGGGGTGCCTTCAGGAGGGCTGTCAAAGCTGATGGGATTCTCTTCTTCGCTGGACAGATGTGGCGGTCGCAGGGAGGGGCTCAGGGGGCTTTGGGGCAAGGTAGGGGACAGCTGTGTCGGCTGCAGCTTCACGTCAGGACCCTTAGATGATGGCAGCAGAGAAGTGGGTGACAGAGCGAGGTTGGCCTGCAGGGGAGAGACAAGCCTGGACTAAAGTCACTCGTTTATTTACACTATACCACTAACAGGTCTTGATACTGAGTCCTTGTGGCTTAACGAGACTACCTGTAAAAATAAAGATTAAATAAAAAATATCTAGTAAAGTCAAATTTTGATGACAAAAGAATGAAAAACATCTTCAAATTTTGAGGCTTTTTTCCTTCCTCTGCATATGATTTACTTGAATCTGCTACCTTTCAATTCATCTAAAGGAAACTCAGCTTTCCTTTAACGAGTCCGAAACACTTTGAGAACCAAAGAGCAGTGACGCAACATCAGCTCCCTAAGGTGGGTTCAAGTCCAGCAGGAGTGTCCTACCTGCACCGGGGAGAAGAGGAAGAGGGAGAACCGGCAGCCCTTTTGCCCCATAGCTGCCCGCTGCGAGAATCTCCAACTAACGGATCTAAAGTTAGTCTGAGCCTCACCAGAACTTCTGTGGCCCATGATCCAATTAGCACAATAATCTGAGCCATCAGGTGAAGCCCCTCCCCCTTTTCCCGGCTCTGCATGTGAGCAGCACAGGCATCAGCACAAACTCAACAACAGGGGGCAGTGATGATCTAAATATCCAGACTACACTAACATGACTTTATAATAACATTAGTTTTTAAACTTTACAAGTAAAGTGTGTAAACTTTACGAGGTGTACTCACCTGCAGTTTTTCTATCATGGCAGAGTTCTTCATCTTTGTTTTAACGGTGCCGGGTGAAACTGATTTCTGCCACAAACACATTCAGGACAAAAGTAAATTAACAAAGTTTATGTTCATATTCTGTTTTGCGGTACCACTTCATCCTTTTACAGTACATTTAGTAAACGCATTTGGTGTGATGAGACTGAATTAAAAATATTAAATATTTGTATATATAATTATACAACTTACCAATAATATTTACAGACAATAAATTAAGATGGCCATGTTTATTGCTGTATAAGATGCTTCTTGTAAAACAGTTAAATGTGTCAAAAACCTGCTGAATAACCATAAAAAGTAATTGAGAAAATGCATTATAACCAACTAAGTAAATAAAAAGGGATATAAATCAATTTAATTTTAAAATTCTCATTGTTTGGATGTTTGATTAACCCTCATATTGCAACAGTTGGTTTATTTTATTTACCATGTTTTATCTTTGATTCTTTAGCTTTAGTTGAGCGTTAGTTGATTCTGTAAACCGACTTCAGAGTAATTAGTTAACGTTTCAAAAGTAAAATCTGTCAACAACTGATTTTATAAAAAGCACAAGCAATGACTAGCAAAAAAAAATATCTGGGAAATGAGGAATAAATAAGGATTCAAGTCCTACAAATAACACGACAGAATGAAAAAAACTGTCATTTATACTCGACATGGTATTTGTTTTTAACTATAATCATTCTGAATTAAACTTGAAACTTGAATTAGATTTGTTAGGGCCACGTTTTTGTTTTATTCTCTGTTTTTTCCATGTTTTTTTTTGTTATTTTAAACCTATAGTTCCTTATTTGTCATTAATTCTGGATTTTATTTCCTCTTGTTTTAATGAAAACCAAGAAGTTATGACGTTCACCTCAACTCTTGAAAGCTGAGAGCAACATTTTGAATTTCACCAAAAATAAAATAAATTGGAATCCATTTGTGCTGCTGGTCATGTTCAAATCAGTCTTTTTCTGCAGACGCACTTTTAGCATTTTATTTCCACTCAGCTTGCAGAACGTCCCCCTGTTTATTCAGAACAAATAAAAACTGATAAAAATTACACGTTTGGCACAAATGATGATGAATTAAATCTGCTTTCCGGGTCCAAATCTAAAGAAGCTCGACGTAGCGCCTGACTCTACAGAAGAACAAAACTCACATCCGACTCTTCGTTTTCTTGTGCTGGATTGTGCAACTTCAGGGAACACGGAGGTCTTTTTCGAAACTACAAAACAAAAGGAGGAAGAAACACAATTTATATTTAAGTGCATTAGAAGCACATAAAAATAATCACTTTAAAAAAAAGTGTGTGGATAATGTGCAGGTACCTCATCTTTGGAGCTGGGCAGAATGTGACCTTTTAACCTTCCTGCAAGCTCAGCCACAGATGGCTTGGATGGAGAATTCTGGGGGGGTGGAGTTATTATTAAAACAATTTATTTAAGCAAATGTTTAGTTAAAAAAAATTTTTTTTTATTAATAAATAAGAAACAAGCCCCTAAAAATATAAAGATTTATGGTAAATTAACACGTTGGACATTCAAAACTTAATAATTTCACCTCAGCAGTTAACATAATCATTGTTGCATTAATTTTAAGATTGTTTTAAGCTTGTTATCATATAAAGCACACACTTGTGCTGCCACACTGAGATATAACCCATTGAAGAAGCAAAAAGTTGAGGGGGAAACCATTTTAAAATACACGTGCAGACAGCACAAGAACATAAATGTGATCCTTAAAGTAAAAACATTGTTTCACTTCCTTCCTTGAGAAAATGCAGACAAGTTGAGACACACAGACGGGAGGAAGGCTTTGCTAACAGAAAGGCTACGCTGGCGTTGTCCTTGGAGGAACTCGCGTGTAGAGTACAGGAAGTGAGCCCCTTTCCCTGCAGCTGGTCAGCATCACGCCACAGCCTGTGACAGCAGCGACCCGGCCTTGCTGCTCCCAACTGTTATCTCTGCTCGGCCCCTTTTACTTTCTGTCTTTCCCAAGGTTCCCAAGCTGATTTCAGCTCTGCCCTCCTCCACACTTCCCTTCGAGGACCAGTAACTCACTCCACATATCTGGACCCTGAGTGATAGGTGGGCGTCCAACTGGAATGTGCATGCATCTAAGCCCTGAAAACATTTAGGTCCCTGTCCACATGGGAACAGTTTTTTTTGTTTCAGCCTTGTGTCCACACAGAAATGGGGGTTTTGGAGCCCCTGAAGTGTATTTAACTGATGCTGGGTTCCAGAGAAATTCTTAAAAAGGCTTCCCTTTGCTCTTTCTGCTAGATGCTGCATGCATAGAGCTAAATGCTACACAACATCTGTCCAGATCAGATGTTTTAACTGTGACTTTCAAACTTACTGATATGTAATTGTAATGATCAGTATTACTCCATTTTAAGCAGCAAATAACAAACTAATTAAAGCGTCTCAGGTGTTTTCGTTCGCTAACGCTAAATTATCCAATGAAAACAAACCACCCTCCCTCCTCTATCATCTTCGTAACATTGTTACTGCACCTGTACAACCGCTCTATGAGAATGTTGTACAACTCATGCTTAATGTTTTGGCAACGATATCTGAACTGTAATGTTGTTGAATTTATGCTCGCCAAAGCTAACGGCTTCATAAAAAATAATGGGACTGAGGCTAACATTGGAAGTATGTTTCCTAGTTTCCACAGTACAGAAGTGCTCTGGTTTAAGCAAAGATTAAGGTCAATATATATAGTAGTCCCTGGTTTATCGCAGGGAATCCATACCCTGAAGCCCTGCGGTAAGTGAAAAACTGCAAAGTAGGAATAGTAGTACAAATAGTAAGTAGTAGTTTATATATACATATATATATATATATATATATATATATATATATATATATATAGTAGTCCCTTGCTACTTCGCAGGTTGTTTATCGTGGACTCTCTCTATTGCAGTTTTTCAAAATAAGATTGGACATGACATACAATTGACTGATTGATGGATGAGCCACCCGATTGGCATGGCATTTTTATTTAAAATAAATTATTTAGCACCAGCTTCACCTTTGTGCATCCAGAGCTGCAGGATAAACTTCCTGCTGCAGCTGATCAGGTGTTCTATGTGCAGAGCATAGAAGTGGGCGTGGTCAAGAGCGCTTGCAGGTGGCTGAAATCATGACATTCTGTGCTCTTTTAGAGCGTTTAGAGTTTAGAAAACATTTAGAAAACATTGTTTAGAATATTGTAAGAGTGTGGGATCTTGCAATATTCTAAACGTTTCTAAACTCTAAAAGCTCTAAAAGAGCACAAAATGTCATGAAATCAGCTCCCTGCCTCGTCTGCGCTTTTCCATCTGCAAGCACTCTTGGCCACGCCCACTTCTCCACTCTGCACAGAGAACAGCTGATCAGCTGCAGCAGGAAGTTTATCCTGCAGTATGGTCTGCACAAAGGTGCAGCAGGTGCTAAATAATTAAAAATAGTTTGTTTTAAATAAAAATCCCATGCCGATTGTGCGGCTCATCCATCAATCAGCCAATTGGGTGTCATGTCCAATCTTATTTTGAAAAACCGTGACAGAGCGAGTTTGCCATAAACGATCCGCGAAGTAGCGAGGGACTACTGCACATTTGATCCAGCGTGTAAACTTCAGACACGTCTTGTTTCCTGTTTCTGTTGTATTTTCATGGCAGCGCCACATACAGGCCTGTCATAGTTACTACGGAATTGTAGGTCGGTTTTCTTTGTGTATGAAAACATTTCTAAAAACAGTGCTGGTTTATGTGAATATAATAAAATAATAATAATAATAAATGTAAATTAAATGTTCCCGTATTGTTCCAGGTTCACTTTACCATATGCTGAAGCGTCAAGGCATTTGTTCACATTTGTCTTAGTTCAAGGCCCTGTGGGTTCGCATGTATTTATCATGTTGCTGTAATGATTTGCATCTTGCTTTATTCCCCCTCTCTTGTCTTTCACATCACCTCACTTTCCCATTGCACTTTATCTGAACAGTAAAAAGCTCCATCCTCAACTCAAAGCTACCAGTTCTGTCATGTTTCCTGAATGTGCACTCCCACTTCCCCATTATCCCCCACCTTCTCTTTTGCTCATTTTGGATCATTTCCTATGAAAACACAGATCTCCCGGGCATCACGGATACACATTCCACATGTTAATCACATGCTTTATTTTCATTTCAACCTTGTCTTGTTCCCATAATGACCTCACCACCTTGTCACCTCCACCCAAATCTGAACCAGTACAGCAACCTGTTTCCTGATCTCGCCTTTCTTATACTTCATAAACAGTAATTGCCCCCCCAAAACATTATTATTTTCTAACTTCTAATTGTTAACGCTTTCCTGTCCATGGAAAACAAACGCCTTCTTCAGAACAAATCGGACTCCTAATCGTGCAAAGCAAAAAGGAAGCCGGTCTCTTTGTTTGTGTCTGTGTGCTCAGATGTTTTGGAGGAAGAAATGTTTTTCTCATTTCCGTGAGTGTGCAAAAAACGTGTTTTTGTATTTCAAAACAAAAGTAAGTTCACAACTTTACATTCCCTGCGGTTGCAAACATCACAGTGTATAAATACATTTGTTGCCAATTAAGACCTTGTGTTCTTGCTTTGGAGTTTTTAACTCATCTTCCTAAAGAAATAAACATCCTTGATATGTGATTTTAGGTCTGTTCACAAATGTTCTGCTAGGAGTTGAACAAAGTATTTCAAACAAAGTTCTCCTTTTCTAGATATTTATCCAAGATATTAAAGTTAGATATCAGTTTCATCTTCATATTTTTCTAAATCTTCAGTTGTTCCCTCTTCAGGGGTCGCCATGGCGAGTTATCCTCCTCCATCACAGACTCATCTTCTGCATCCTCTGTCCTCACTCCAACTACCTCCATCCATCCATCCATTATCTTTACCCGCTTATTCCATTTTGGGTCACGGGGGTCGCTGGTGCCCATGACTCCAACTACCTCTGAATCCATATACCTTCTCTTTGGACTTCTTCTTTGTCCTTTTCCTGGCAGCTGCATTTCTAACATCCTTCTACCAATATACCCACTGTCCCTTCTCTGGACATGTCCAAACTATCTTAGTCTGGCCTCTGATGATCTCATTCCTAATCTTATCCATCCTTGTCACTCCTAAGGAAAACCTCAACATCGTCATTTCTGCCACTTCCAGTTCTTTCTTCTGTCACTGCCACTGTCTCCAGACCATACAACATAGCTGGTCTCACCATTGTCTTATAAACTTTTCCTTTTCCAAATCACTCTTAAACCTTCCTCCATCTACTCCATCCTGCCTGACTCTCTTCTTCACCCCTTTACCTAATTCCTCATTCCCTCCCTGACTCAGTATCTGGCTTGCCTTGCAAACGTATGTATGATACACACATAAATGTCCTGCTATCGAAGGGTAAATCCTGCATTATCTTTCTTTACCGCAATAAATCATACTTCACGCTCTCTGACAAACAGCTTCTGGTTAAAAATGACTGCTTCCAATCCTGGATTGTGGTGATGGGGTTTACAGGCCTGCCTCAAAACGCTCCTTCACAAACTGGACATCATCTATCACGCTGCTGTCCAGTTTGTAACTGGAGCTTCATTTCATACACACCACTGCAATTTGTACACCCTGATAAACTGGCTATCTTTTCAATCTCGCATACAAATTCATCGGTGCCTGTTTATTTACAAGCCCTCATTGGAAAAGCTCAGAGTTACCTAAGGTCACGTCTTACTATCCACAATCCAAATCACAGTTTGCGTTCTAGTAACCTCATGAATCTCCTCACACCGAAAGCACGTACCTCCTTTGGTCGCTGCTCCTTCCAATTCTATGTTGCAGATGTCTGCAAGGGACCTTAACGCTCGACTCATTTATTATGTTCTCCTCTTTTAAAAGTTCATTACATGCATACATTATTTACATGAACGCCCCTACAAGCACCTTGCAGATGTTGGACGCTGTCTATCACGGTGCGCTAAGATTCATAACTGGCTGTAACTATCGTACCCATCAGCGCACCCTGTATTCACTGGTTAACTGGGCATCATTAACTTCACACAGACTCTCTCACTGGTACATTTTCACCTTTCTTGGTCTGTTGCCTTCTTACTTCTCCTCCTACATGTCACTGAGTGCAGCTACAGCGTGTGCCCTCAGGACATTACCTGCAGTGTTCCCTCAGTGAGGACTGAACTAGGCAAAAGGGCCTTCTCCTACTCCGCTCCTGTTTCCTGGAATATCTTACAAAAAGATCTGAAGCTCTCGACCATGACCTCTTTAAGTGGCTTCAAACATCTGCTAAGTTCCTGGGAAAAAACAATGCAGACATGTTCCTGTTTTTAGTTTTCTACATCGCCTTACAACATAGATGTTTTTTCACTTTTTTTTAAATACCATTTTATTTTCACTT